GGGTGTATAAATTTATTAAGGAAGAATTTAAGTCTATCTGCCAGTATCTGCAAAGATTTTATAATCCACATTCAAAAGTGAAATGGGCCTATAGTTTTTAATTTGGGTATGGTCAGCTCCAGCTATAGGCAAAAGGGTTATATAGGCCTCAGCCCACGATTTCGGTGCAATAGAATCCATCAAGACAGCATTAAATATTACTATCATCTCTTGTCCTAAGATTTCCAAAAAAGTTTTATAGATTTCAACTGGCAAACCATCCATGCCAGGAGTTTTGTTGTTTTCCATTTTTATTTCTTAATCAGAAAGTCATTGATCTGTCATTATCACTTTCTGCCTGCAACTCTTCTATACAATGGAGTTCCAGATCTATGTCCCATGACTCTAACTTAGCTATACCACTGCCTGCAAAAGTCAATTTAAACTTTCAGCATATATACAAGGTGTCTAAAATCAAAATAATGTTTCTTATCATATCAGGTACATTCATCTGTATTTTTAAAAACTTTTCAAATATTCTGTGCCTGGGTAGAACCATCATCATCTCTGTTCATTGAAGACAGTGATACTTCAAAGGTCTTTTTAGAGAATGGAGGATAAGACTATCAGCAGCTTAAAATCAGAGCAATCAAGTTGGAGAAAAACTGATGAATATTTAGAAGGTAAATACTGAAGATAAATAAGAAAATAATAATAATAAAATATTTCATGTCCTTCTATACATTTTGTAAGCTACTTTACATTGGAATAGCTGCCTGGACTAAATGAAGTAGTGTTTATTTGTTTAGATATCTTTTATTCTAAGGAACTCAGAGAAGTACATATAATTTTCTTCTCACTTTTTTTCATTCTCACAAAGCCCTGCAAGATAAATTACACTAAAAGAATGATTGCTGATCACAATTGCCCAATAAGCTAACTGGGTACTTATATTCCCTGTCCGTAGTCATGGTTATGAATTAATTTTTTAGCCATGTATTTTTACTCAAACTATACAATAAGACATTTATAGAATAATTAGAATAAGAATAATAATATAATTAGGGGAAAACAGTTTATAACAACTAACAAGACAGAAAGAATTAACTTTCTGTCCCAAAGGGAAGAAAAATCAATCCAAACACATCAATGTGTATTTATCCCAATTTAAACCCATAATTCAAAACTGTTCACAAACACTAAAGCAAAGTCTCAAAAGAACCTTTCCTGCTAATTAGCACCGCTCGCTCTTCTTACACAAGTCAATATGACATGTTTTAATTAACTGTAATTTTACATATACATACACACACATACACACACACAAACACACACACCTCTGTGTGTGTGTATGCTGTTTCTAAGGAATTATAAAATGTGGTATTAATTTAACTCAGTGCAGTCAGTCATTGCACTTGATTTCCTTTGCCCATCTAATAATCATAAGCAAACACTATTTGGTGATTGTGAATAAAGAAATATCTCAAAAGAATCATTTTTGGCAAAGTTAAGAATGACAGAAAATCATGCTATTTGATTTAGAGTTAACGTGCTTTATGAAGAACACAAAAATAATTTTGAAAAACAACACAAAGTAAAGCCAAGAGATAAAACAAATTAAAGGAACATATGCTTACTGCATTACACCCAAAACATTCACTATTGTTCTCCATAATTTTAGGTTCTTGAAAAAAAAATTATTTGACCTGGTTCACACTGCTTTTTTTCTTTGATTTTTCTTTTCCAAAGTTCTTACTAAATGTTATTATCTCCTGTCAGGAGCAACTAAATAGTATCTTGTTAGTATTTTTAATTTTATTTTAAATTAGAGGCTAATAGGAGACATAGATGTTTTTTTTTTAAAGAGATGAGGTATTCTTCCATCTTTGTCATAAAGCTATAGCAAACTATTTTTGAGGAACTGACTGATTAAGTAGGAGCCATTAAGTCTCTCTTGACTCCTAGTGACCACATACAATACATTTTCTCCATGATGATCTATCCCTAATCTGGTCTTTCATGTCTTCCAATGATATATTCATTAACAACATTGTTGTTGTTGTTGTTAGTTGCGAAGTTATGTCCAACCTATTGCAACCCCATGGACAATGTTCCTCCAGGCCTACCTGTCCTCTACCATCCTTTGGACACCAACTGTTTCAGTGACTCCATCCAGCCGCCTCATTCTCTGTCGTCCTCTTCTTCTTTTGCCGTCAGTCTTTCCCAGCATTAGGCTCTTCTCCAGTGAGTCCTTACTTCTTACTTCTCATTATATAACACACAATATAACTTTGTCCATCTATTATGCCAAAAGTGGGTGGAGAACAATCACATTCTTGTGACTGTCACTTTGGCTTTTTTGACCCCTTTGTCAGCTCGGTGTGCTGATGTCAACCCTATAAGGTAAACCAGATCAAGAAACCAATACTGAATGGGGTTAAAACTACTATTATTGGAACAGCTAGACAACAAAGATTTGCAGGTTGGAATCGTCCTTCACTTTATCATCATGTGAATTAAATTAACATGTGCTGAAGTTAGTTTCCTGAAATGGGCTCAAAGTCTGATCATTGTTTGGGTAGCAGATCTTCCTCCTATCCTTCAAGGCCATTCCCTATTTTCTCTATGGCTGATGGGTAGAGTTGTGAAATAAAGGCTCTTTTAAAAATTCAAAATATATCTCACTTCATTGCTGTAATGTGGGTTATTACATCACCTCATTTTCAATGGAGTCTAATCCATTAGTGGTTTATTATCATCATGCTATCAGCTGCCCAACTCAGCCACTGTGAAGGAAACCTTTTAGCAGAGAGCTCTGTGTTGCACATGATGTGAAGAATACAGAATGCAGACACAATACTAAGTCTGTAACTGGGTTATTGGGTCATTTACTTCTTGAAGGCTATTGCCCTTGAGTTTAGAAAAGAGAAATGATTATTAGTTTAGATCATTTTCTTTTACTGTAGAAAAGCTGTCATTTAATGTCTGCTGGATTTCTGAACAGATTAAACTCAAATGTTATTGATGAATATTTTCCAACTTATTATATGCATAATTGGGTTCCACAATTACTAATGTGAAATACAGCAGTTCAAAAAAAACATTTCAGTGCATCATATATACAGACACAGATTTTGTGCGTGTGTGTGTGAGAGAGGGGGGGAGCAAGCGAGAGGGCGAGGGCAGGAGAGAGAAAGAGAGAGAGAAGCTACAGGCACCTTCAAAAGATGTACTTGAAAAATGTAACAATGACACAGCAGTGGTATATGAGTCATTAGTCTTCCAGCTTGTTAGTGTTATAAAAATAATGAGAAGCAGAGAAAAATCATTAAGCTACATAAAAGCATAATATAAATTCATCTCTAGTATTCAACCTTTGATTTTGAGATATTGCACTGTAGGTACTCATGCTACTAACTTCGGATTCCAGTTTTTCTTTTCCTTACAACTTGCAGAAGGGCTAAGGGTCTGGTCAGTTGCATGGATTTTAGCACAATCAATGGACAGACATTTATCCAGTTGTAAAAAGCAGGGATCCATTTGGGTTGCAGTTTTCACAATATCAGATTTCTACATTAGTACTAAATTATTAGTTATTAGTAGAAGAATCCTAATGAGGAGTCTTCATCAGTCCCTCAAAATGGTGTTCTGCAGACAGGTGGAGACTACAATTACCATAATCCCCATCTGAACTCATCTAGATGGCATACAATGGTATTACAAGATTATATACTCGGTATATGGCTTTAAGACGATTCTGGATTCTGTGGGCTATTGGTTTGTTTTGTAATGGTGGCAGCATTTTCTAATATCAATATTCAGTTTTATTCCCACTGGTTGTTGATTCTTTGTATTTGTGTTAACACAAATATAAATCATGAATGAGAAATCTGGATAATGAAAAGATTTATTCCACTGCCCTACTTCACTCTCATTTTAGAGATATACAGGTAGTCCTCAAGTTATGACCACAACCAAGCACAACATTTATGTTGCTAAGTGAAACATTTGTTAGGTGAGATTGCCTCATTTTACAACTTTTTTTGCCACAGTTGTTAAATGAATCATTGTATTTGTTAAGTTAGTAACATGGTTGTTAAGTGAATCTGGATGCCCCATTGACTTTGCTTGTTAGAAGGTCACATGACTCTAAGACACCTCAACCATCATAAATATGAATTAGTTGCCAAGCATCTGAATTTTGATCATGTGACCATGGGGATGCTGGGTCATAAAGGGTGACAAATAAGATGTAACTTTGAACAGTCTCTAAATGAACTGTTATAAGTTGAGGACTAACTGCATTTGCCTTTCTCCTCACTCCATTTTTCCTTTTGACTATATTTCTTTCTCTAAAATCACATCCCATTTTCCAGTGTATTTTCACTGGTAACGCTGGCAGATAGGAGACCTCTGAGTCTAAATGCTGTAAAGATGACAATAAATAATTACGATCTCTCTGCTAATAGAATATGATGGGATGCTTCCATGTTTAATATTTTTTCAGGTCTAGAAATCAGAGAAAAATGCTTTTCCAAATCAGATAATCATAATTAGGCACCACCAAGTTGGACCTGTCACATTGAAGACCATAAAGAAAATAACATCTAAGTCCTGGTCCTTTTCCATAAAGCCTCCATTGTTTTATTAATTAACATGGGATCAGTGAGATATGTTGTGAAAATCATTCCGTATCTTCTTCAAAGTTGTTCTCACCATGTTTCATCAGCTGAAATCTTTTTGAATAAGTCTTTCTGCTTCCATGGCCTGCTTTTAGTGAGTATATATGTATGCCATCTTTCATATCTGTCTGTTCACTAAAATATAAAGACAACATCTTCCTATTATTGATGTATAACGGCGTTATATTTTGATCCACTTTACATGCTAGTTACAATATATTGGTACGTCATGATTACAGATATTCTTCAACTTATGATCATTTGTTTAATGACTGTTTAAAGTCAGAACAGCTCTCTAAAAGATCATTTATGACTGGTCCCTGTACTTATGACCACCACAGAGTCCTCATGCTCACATGATCAAAATCATGCACTTAGCAACCAGCCTGTTTTTAGAACTATTGCAGTGTCCTAAGGTCATATGATAGTCACTTGCAATCTTCCCAAGAGCTTCTGATATGCCATGTCAATGAGGAAAGATCAATTTGCTTAACCACTATGGCAAATTCACTTAACCACTGTGACAAAAAGGATTATAAATCAGGTGCAACTCAGACAGCATCACTTAGCAATGGAACTTCTGGTCGCAATTGTGATTGTAAATTGAAGACTAGCTTTAATGCAGTCTAACACATGTGACCATTTAGGAGTAACACTTAGGTCAATTTAATCTTTCTCCAGCACTGATCCTTACCTCTTCCAAGACATGCCAGCAATCCTCTTGATCCCGCCATCCACTGTATCTGTTTCCTTTCTTTTCTTCTTCCTTCTGCCTCATCAAAAATTGATACGTTTATAATTATTACATTTGGGGATTAGGAATTACAGACAGCTTCTATTGCTTTTTGGGGGGAAATATATTTCTGCTATTTTTTTCTCTCTAAATAATCTCTTTCATTTTGTAGTGGCAGGTTTTCCCCTGTACTTTACCACATAGATTAATGATGCTACTTTAACAGAGGAAACCATACCACAGTCAAGATTGACAGTGCAAGTTTTGATATATAAACCAAAAGGAAACTCCATTTCCCCATGCACTGATGTTGTTACCTAGCTTACTAATAAAATGTTTGTGGGAAAATAATCATGCCCCGAGAACATCAAGAAACCAAAGATCAAACTTGAACAACTTATATTCTCTAGTGTGTGAGAATATTTGTACTCACACATAGAAATAAGTTAATATAGAAAAAAAACTAGATCTATTTCAAAAAGCAAGAGACAAAAACCCACACTTGCTGAATAAAAGTGTATTTGCCCGAAGCTACTTTTTAAAAATGAGCCCAGAAATAAAACTACCTTTGTTCTGTTTCAAAATGTGTCTTTTTTCAGAATTCTAAATCAATACAACAGGATGCCATTACTTTTCTCCTAGTTGCATGATTCTTGTCGATAGCTATAGCTGTTAGAAGCCATCTGGTTCTTTCTTCATATTATTAATTATTAGATGCTATTATAGGATATCTTGTTTGTAATTTTTTAAAATTCCCTTTTTTATAGTTATTGTATTGTTTATTGTGTTTGGTCTTATACCATAAATAAATGTTGATTAATTGATGAAACTTCTCTAGACTAAGTTGGCAACAACTATAGTTCACTATTTCCCTTATAAATTGTAATAATTTTGTGATTTTTTTTATTAGAGTACTACATTTGATAATAGTATTACTCACTTACTGTATGTTTTTAAATGAATTTTGGACGTTCCTGTTCCAGTTAGCTTTTTATGTAAATTCAAAGCACGTGGTAGCAACTGATATAATTAGCGGAAAGAACAATCTTGGAGGACAGGATGAAGAGTTGCTACCAAGACAACAATTGGATAAAAGAAACCTGACTCTGAGGCAGAACTGAAGAACATCTTAGAAAAGACCCTTCCTATTGAGGCCTAGGGGGAGAGAGCAGAGAAGCGCATTCAGACTTTCAAGATTCCATTACTATAATCCTATAATAAAAATAATATCAGCCTGTATATGGTTTCCTGGTCAAGCCTATCTTGAAAGGCTGACATATAGGGAAACTTGGTTGATCTCAAAATATACTAAATAGACTCTGAATAAATACTGGGGTTGGGAAGCCTAAGGGAATCCAAGGCTTTAGAATTACCTGGGACATTGAAAATTAACCCACAAGGTGGCAATGGAGAACTACTGCCATGTTGTTGCTAAGAAAACTGCATTAAATTCAAACATGGTTTGAGTGACATAAACTGAAATGAAAAGAGAACCAGAAATAAAAAAGACAAGCTGAAGTCCATTTGGCTTCTGTGGCAGAGAGGAGATCCTTAGTATAATAATTTTTCTTCTGTTCATGTCACAAATTAGTCTAGCACATGTTTTTCCAAATTTATGCAGGAAATAAGGAGAGGAGAATCCAAGGTAACCTTAGAGGAATTAAGTTGAAGACCTTTCAGCACTCTGACCAACTCTGTGTTATTTCACTTGACCTTCTGTACAGGATCTAACAATTTTCCCACCAGTGTCAATTCTGTTTTGCCTGGTTCTTTAATCTGTAGCTTCCTTCTTCTCCCCAAATCTTCTCTCTCAAGGGAAGTTGTTGTCCAACTTAGACAGTAGAAATTCTGTCCTCATTTTACATAGAAGACCTGAAATGATATATTTTTCTTCCATTAGTTGTATCTGCAGTCAGAAATTATAAGCATTTAAATAGAGCTGTTGTTAAATTCTGTCACAGAGGAAATAATGGGAATGATTGGAGAGGAAAATATACAAAATTCATATTTTATCAAGACTTGTTCTAAGAAACAGCATGATAAATCTTTTAAACTAAAAGCTAAGTTAAACTTACCAAATTGATTTTCACATCATTTTTCTGTAGATCAAAAAACAATATGCTTCTTTTTGAGAATTTTATTAGACATTTTAAAATTGCAGGACTTTTTTTTAATGGAATATATATTTTCCCCTAAAGCTACACTTCTCTAGCTTTCCAATGAAAACCATCAATAAATAGAAAGCAGGATTATTATCTTGCAAGACAATGACACATGATATAACAGTGCTCCAACATTAAAATCTGTGTTCCAGAATAGACCTCCAAAAACCTATGACCCGCCAACCCAAATACAGCCTGCTAATGTGCATTTTGGCTTTCCAAGTGCTTAATAACTATAGATTGTTCCAAGAAGTAAAGAATTTGATGCCAAGAATTTGGTGCACTCTCATATTTCCCAACTAGAGAGAAGTTTAACCACATTCACCTGATTATACAACAAACGTGCCTGTGATTGGAAGCCTAAAATTACAATAAATAGGGAAATGAAATCTTAATGAAATAGAATAAATACATTTCCTTTCAAATTCTTCTATGGTTAGAATTTCAAGAGTCAACCTGGTGAAAATGGCACTACAGTCCATCCATAGTAACATCTCAGTTGCATCTCAATATGATTAAGTGATGCAAATATGATTCTGTATAAAGGGTTGATCAGTTTTTGGCTGCGAAGCCAAACAGATAATACAGTACATTATGTGTACATAATGTATCATGAACAATAGATACTCATTGAATTGTAGTAGCACTAAATGCATCAAATCAAATCCTAAAAATCCTGAAAAAGTAACTAAATATTATGGGAAGTTACATTGCAACCAAAAAGTCTGAATTAATCAGTCTGTCTGTCTGTCTGTCTGTCTGTCTGTCTGTTTGTTTCTTTCTTTCTTTTCTTTTCTTACTTCTTCACTTTTATAGTCTGTTGTTATCTCCAGAGAAAACCTTTTTAAATGTGTTTTCCATGTTTCCTCTTGAACTTGACATTCAATATTCAGCATTTTTCATCCTTCCCTGTAGAGCTGGGCTTCTTTCTGCTATGCGTAGTTTTGAAAGCAATATACATGTTTGACACTGATTTTGTGTGCAGTACCAGATTCATGTTAACTTACTCAAACGGATAATTTATGGCTCCTTTCTTGTTAAAATGTCTCCAAAAGAAATATGGCTGCTTTGGAGTTGTTAAAATGGCAATGGAACATGTTTTGTAGAAACATATAAATGAAGAGATTACGACTCTGAATTTCCTAAAACGGAATCTACAGACTAATGGTAATCAAAGACTTCTTGCTTGAAATATATGATGTGCCAACAAAAAGATAAAAACAGGCTTGAAATATAAGTCAGGGTCTACAGGAAGAGGTTAGGTTCTGACATGCCTTTGGGACATTTCAACATTTTGAAAACTAACAGATTGGATTTATATTTATGGTACCGCTTTAAAAGAAGAGAAAAGTAGTATATCGGAGGATGACTTTTTAAAGAACTAAAGCCTAAGAATGAATGCTGTTCTCATTCAGAAAGGAACAAATTAGGTTAGCTTGCAGGTATCTCATTACTGGAACCATTGTTAGGTCTCTGAGTAGGAAAATAATAGAGATGTACTTGTAGGTTCAGACTTTTAAGACAAACCCTGTTTTGACTTGGAATATTTCTTGCTACAATTATGTTAAATTTTACAAATATAAACAGAAAAAAAACCTAATATAAACTAAGAAAAATATAAAAAAAAATAAAGGAGCAGAGAGAAAAAAGATAGTAAAAAAGATATATAAAAGAATGACCTTTCATCCCTCCAGTCAAATATAAATAGCTTCAGTAAATTGGCACCTTCTCTAGTATTTCAATTTTTTTTAAATCTCTTCTTCTTCTCATATCTAATCTCTTATGAAAATTTAAAAAAAGCCTCACTATTCAGTCTAAATCAGCAAAGGTTCATTAAGAGCTAGCAGAAATATTAACATATGTATTTTAACTCTATAGCAATAGCAATAGCAGTTAGACTTATATACCACTTCATAGGGCTTTCAGCCCTCTCTAAGCGGTTTACAGAGTCAGCATATTGCCCCCAACGATCCGGGTCCTCATTTTACCCACCTCGGAAGGATGGAAGGCTGAGTCAACCCTGAGCCGGTGAGATTTGAACAGCCGAACTACAGAACTGCAATCAGCTGAAGTAGCCTGCAGTGCTGCATTTAACCACTGCGCCACCTTGGCTCTTAAGCTGTAATACAAAATAGATTTATTTGCTTATTATTTTGTCTGAAAAATAAAAAATAAAAAATAAATCTTTATTTATTTCTTTTCTTCTTCATTTATAAACAATTTTTAAAAGCGTAATCATTCAGTCCTGTTAAAAAGATTCTATTAATAGCTTCTAGAAACACCAACTATTTAACTCTAGTTTAATAATTTATATTTCTTCCATTTCCTTTAAAAAGCTTGATCTTTAATCTGATCAAATAATGTTCCCAAAGTTTATTTCTTACATTGTCTCATCTCACAAACAGCCTCAATAGTTTAACATTTAACGAATAGTTTAACGAATCCAGGAATAGGAAAGGAAGCAGGAGAACCTAGTTTCTAAATGAAGATGCAAATTACAGATTAGGCATGATAAATTGCCCACAGCTCCTAGAGTTCTCTAACGGTTAACCTACCAGAGGTCACTATTTTATTAACTCTTTGCAGGAAGCCTCAGTAGTGAGCAAACATGTAAATGATCCTAACCCTCTCCTTGACTTGGCAGGAATTCCAAGGACTTGCTTCTGAATTCCATGGAACCATCTTTAACTCACCAATGTTTCCCCATAAATGGCTTGAACTAAACCAAAAGTCATTTGGTTTAATTTTAGCTTGAATCAAACTAGTTGCTTACAAAATCAAATCTGCATATATTTTCTCATGGTCTGTAGTAAGAAAAACTAGACAGGGCTATAAAGCTATCTGTTTTTATAGCAGAGTTAATGAAGTCTATCCTATTTCAGGAAAATGAACTTTAGGGGTTAGAAGTTTTCAGCAAAATGATAACAAATTCATTTAAGACCACTGTTTTTGAGGTGCACTTTGTAGGATCATGCTTGATACTATTACAATCTATGAAATATTACAAATCTGTGATTTTCTTGTAATTTCTAATGTTGTGAAGAAGGAATTTTACTTCCCCTTGCTTTTGGGTGTTTGGATTGGATTTGTATAAAAATAGCACACATTAATTATTCCTAAATAAGGGTCTGAAAAATATTGCAATGATGAGTTTAGGGTTCAGATATTTATAATAAATTGATAACACTTAAGCTAGATGTATTGTTATATTTTATTTGGGATATTTTTGCTCATAGGATAGTGTTGTGACTCAGCAGCAGTCTTCTGTGAGTCTTTTCAGGATGCAAGATTAACTATGCAGCTGGGGCTCGTTAGGGGATATTCTGGGGATAAAAGGACGGATGGTGCCACGCCCTGGTTGCAGGAGTCAACGTTCCTTGGTTCGTTCAACATTGATTGATCATCAGTCGTGGTTTATGTAAGATACACTTGGAAAAGTGCTTTGTTTTCTGTAACCCTGATTCAAGAAGACACTTGGAAAAGTGCATTGCTTGTAAGAGTTTTTGTTTGCTATTCTGTTATCTAGTCTGAGACTTTATTGATGTTATTTTTGGGCTCGTAACCAGTTTGAGCCGAGAACTGATAAAGAGAGTTCCTTTTAAGTTTGTTTGCCTGTCGTCTGTTAACGAGCGGAGAAGGGGGGACAGAACAGATAGAGGTGACGCAAGTATTTGAAAGGATGAGAAGGGAGGGATTTTCTTTTGAAAAATCTATTTACCATATTTACACAACAGGAGGATAATGCTTTCCTAATTATTGTTCTGAGTTGGAAGGTGACTCATTTGCATTGGAAATAAGGAGTAAATGACTGGACATATGCTTATTGATTAGCTTGAAGATTAGCCATTAGTTGGGACGTCAACATCTATCCCTTTTTAAATATCAAAGCAGGACTTTTCTCACTGTGTCTCTCTATTTTTTAGTCCAATTACCACTTGCCCTGATATCCAGTTTTATCCCTTTCTCACCTCCTTTTAACCCTTCTTCCTATGGTAAAATATCATGTTTCTTCTTTTATACTACAATATTTCTGAGATTCATGGAGTGGGGCAATATCTATGTGTGTGTATTTCAGTGTTTCTGTGCAAATGGCAACTACAGAGAACACAGGTTGGCATACATAGATGTTCTTTAATATTATAAACAGGGTATCTTATTTTATAGATAATCAATTATTAGATTAGAATGAGAGACTAGGGGTGAAAATTTTCTAAATTAGGCATAAATATCTCATTGTCATGAAGAATCCTAATGATCTGAAAGGCTGTGTTTGTGTGTGTGTGTGCGTATGTATATGTATGTATGTATGTATGTATGTATGTATGTATATATATATATACAAATATTGCAAAGACAACCAAATGACCATTTGATCAATTATAAAAATGGTTGGTGTCTGAAACAATGTCTCTAATCAGCTCTTACAGTTGTGGCTTCTGAAGCAGAGATGGTGTGTCTTACTTCAGCTTTGTTTTCAAAGAAGAAGCTTAGCTCATCATTGCCTCCAATATTTAGCAATGGAAACAGAAACAACTGAAGCAGAAAATCTATTTTCACCCTCCTTCCAGTTCGTGCTCAGGTGCCAGGTTTGAATTGTACATCCAGTTACCAACAGCAAATCATGGAGAGACTTTGACTGAAACAGTATTTAACTGAATGGGAGTAGTAGATATTTTTGAATTAACTGTGGTCC